AAGTTGCGCCAAAGATGGGATAGGCGAGGCATGAGAACTACGTGACGGATGCGACGATTTGGAAGCGGACCGAGAAGACGCCGGCGAATTCTGGCTGGTGTGAGGGCGTTTCCCTTTCAACTGAGATGGTTTACCTGAAGATTGCTGTGGCTGTGATATACTAAGATTCTGTATATGAGGAGGAACTTGTTGCGATGCAGCTTGTTGGGGTGAAGGAAAGTATGCTGCGTAGGATTGGACTTGGTGCGCGAGATGATGAACTTGGGCCTGAAGCTACGCGAAGAGAGGAGTTTAGTGCAAGCGCAAATCGTCAGTTGTAAAATATAATTTACCTCGCCCTCTCGTTGTCGCCAGAGACCCCCTTCCCAGCGCAGCATCTTGACCTCATTCCCTAATCTCTCTAACTCGCTTCTGGTCCTTTCCTCCCTTCCTCTAGCTTCTTCTTCGCGCCTCCTAGAAGCTTCCAACGCACCTCTCAGAGAAGCAATCTGGGTTTGAGTAGACAGACTGGTGGAGTTCGTGCTCCCAGGGCCTGTACTGCCACTTTTGCTTGAGCTCGCTACAGAGTCATTAGCCGAGCCTGAACCGGAACCGGAGACACCATTCAAAGTGGGAAAATTAAATGGAGTAGGGTCCCCAATTTCAACATGCTCTCCTTCTGGGTACTCAGTTTCCAGTTTGGACGTTGAACTAGCAGTGTGGAAGGTTGAGTATATTGGCATAGAGGTCGAGGATGCTAGACCTGAGGCCGCCTCGTCTGGACGCGTTTGGGAACGGAAACGAGGGGGTTTGGTAGCCCGAGAAGGAGATGGGGAGCTCGACGAAGAGGTAATTGGGTGTAGCGTGGAAGAAGATGAAGCACTGTCTTTCTGGTTGGTATAGGAAACAGCTGATGCCGACTGCGATGAGATGAGAGTAGACGGGTCGATAGGGCCGTGATTAGTTGTGACATTATGAAGAGTGCTATTCTTAGAGTTACTATTCTTATTGCGTCGGGTATTCTTAGTTGATTTGGAAGATGGAGTTGTGGAGGCAGAGGGGGTGTCCAGAGAACCGGATTTGTCCTCGTCTAAGGCAGGATCTAGATTATGGAATTTCGCAGACTGAACGGACGTGTCTGCTGTATCAACGGAGTCGAACGAAAATGTCGAGACAGCGATTGAAGGCGTACTGTCATATGATGTGGAAGGAGAATGACCAAGATTGGATTTCGAGGGGCCAACAGGTGAGGGAGGAATTTCCGTCAACGACACTTCCTCGCTCTGGTCCTCGCTATGGTCCCTTCCTCGAGCAGAACCTTCTGCTGCCGAACAAATAGATGCCGACCTCGAAGAAGAAGGGTCACGAGCTCCAGATTCCGAACGGGAACCGCTACGATTACGCTTAAAATTGCCAGGCTGAGCGTCCTCCAATGACGGTTCCTGTTGTGTTTGTGATACAAAATGCGCTGAACTCGACGCTGAATTCGGAACTGATGACGAGGACGGGTCGCTAGGGCCGGGAAGCTCTAGATGCTTGAGTAACTTGGTTAGGTCCTTGGCTCGTTTGCCTCCTTTCATCAACTCTTTCATAGGGTCCTTTCTTCGTCTGCGACGTTCCTTTGACCTCGAAGACTTTGACCCGTCATTGTGGGCATTGTTGCTTTCGTCGGCATCTATTACAGTGAACGTTGAATGAACGTTTGTCTTATGAGACATGACTAAAGAAAACGCGGAACACTCACCGTGCGCTTCGTGTGCCTCTGCCAGCACTGTGATGGCAATTAATTTTGAGTCAAAGGTGAACACAGGGAGCTTCGTACCAGGCTCTGATTCAGTTCCCAAACCTTTAGGCAGAAGCCTGATATTCGCAAGGCGCAAGTTGGACCTCCAAAAGACTGCAGATCCAGCGAGAACGAGGGTGGCTACAGCTACAAGAACGCTGGGTTGTAAGGGGGTTGAGATGAGCGTTGCCGAGTGAAAATTGTGAAAATTATCCTGTTCATCGTTCATCGCGGCAAGAAGGGGGCGGCTCCGACTGCTAAAGGGATTGTAATGGCAAGGAAAGAGGAGAGCAGACGGAGAAGGAAGGAACGGCTCGTGTGGATGATGGTTCTATTGTAAGAACGAGCTAATGAGTGACAATGACTGGAAAGAACATGTATGGTAGCGGTTTTGGAGTCCTTAAGGCACAACCACTCATTCATTCTGACTGTGGGAATTTACAAATCGTAGCACGAGGCTAGCCGGCTCTTCTTCGCAGCTCTCTTCCTTCGGCCCCCTTGCTCCTCCAATATCAGATATTCATATTTCCATATGCACAACTACTCTCCGTTTCTATCCATAACAATCACAGAAAAGAGACTATCCTTACAAAGTCTTCCCCAAAAAGTTTTCGGCGGGGTGCGCACCCTCGACAAAATTCTCTCACTACCAGTGGGTGCGGTCAAATCCACGAGCATTTTATGCCAGGCGGTTTAACGGGCCCTTGTACTAGTACCCACCCCTTCCAAGTCTTTCCCGAATATATTCCCCTGCATTTACTAATTTACCCCCCAGGTGTTTTCCTTCACAGGTAAGAAGATGCCTACTCTCGACCAATCTCTGGTCGGACTATTACTGGACCAATAAATTTCCGTGAAATAGATCCACTTTGCCATTTGCCGCGGTAGGTACGACCAGGTATGATTATATGGTCTTTTTTCATTTGCTGTGGCGTCTACAACTCTTAGAGTACCTAGTGCTCAGGCAACATATACATATGTTCACCGTCTGACCTCGTTATTTGCGGCAAGGCTACACCTCACCGCAGCTCCGATATAACCTAAAAGATGTCGCTTTGATAATAAATCTTGCAACGTCACACACACCAAGGTCACCTCGTGAATACTTTTTCTGCCCGATTGTCAAAAGCTGCATTGAAAACCACAGCTTTGTTCCCTTTTTGTAGTTCCAGCTGGCGGATGCATCACCATGTGCACCCATCATGGTCGGACTTAACGTCTTTCTTTTGAGTACCGTCCTTCTATTAAATGCTACCAGTATTTTTACGCACGCAGGTTCTATGATCCACCTGCGAACGATCACCTCTTTTAGAGCAACCAAATCGAAAGTATGGATCTCATTCATCCGATGCAAAGCCGAGCCCACTGCTCACCATTTTTCGACACGTAGCAGACGAGCTATCTTGGACAGGCCCCAGGATAATTTACGGAGACCTGAGATTGTTTTAGCGCGAGGTATTTCGAAGCTCCCTGTAATCGTATAAATCGCCTCGGTTTAAAAATGGTTTAAAACGTCCGAGGTGAGGGACAAAAGGCAGAAACGAAATAACAATTCAATTAACATTTCAGAAATCAGGGGCACTGTGGGGCGATTGAATTTCGTCGATCTGCTAATGTGACTTTCAGAATCAATCTAGGAGCAGCTGCGTTATGCACCCTGATTTCGTTTTTTTTACTCAAGTCGGGAAAAACATAAATTTGCTTGGTTACTTGGGCTCAAACTATCCTATCATCGAACATTATCCGTCAAGGCTCGACGAAAGATTGGATCAAGTGCCTATATTCTAATTTCCACTAATCACGCGGACTCAAAAGTAAATCAACCCGTCGTCCTTCCTTCGCACTTTTCACTGCAGCATGCAAAATCTCCTTCGTCTTCATTGCATCTTCTACGGTAGCATACGATCCCTTTCTTCCATCAGCAAATGCCTCCCAATTCAATGCAATTTTATCCAACTCTGCGAGTGCGACCTTTTCCCCATTCCAATACATCTCAGGAGAAGGATCAAAGAAGCCCAGTTTTGAATCCGCTTGAACCCGAACTGTTCCATTTTCCCCACTTATAACCCAGGTAAATTCAGCATCTTTCACTCCAGACTGAAGATGAACAATATAAGGAGCTTGTTGCGTAGTCTGAGACCCGATATGTAACCGGCCATTGACGCAGACTTGTGTCGGTCCGTCCTGGGAGACCGTCTCTCCCGTGAGCTTCCCGGTCGACGAATCAATCACTGTGGCGGTGGGATGGTGGTTCATTACCTCGGCGGACACAGAGGCAACAGGGCCGAGGATATGTAAAATCAAGTCGAATATATGACCTCCTGCAGCATCAAGAAGTGTGGCACCATTGGCAGCACTACTGCTATGCTTGAAGAAATCAAAAATGATTGGACCCCACCCACGATTGAAGGACACAATCTTTCATGACATGATCAGCGGGGGAACCTTGCAACAAAGCATGAGAATCCTCACAATATTTGAAGAATATATTTTTCCTAGTTTGCCCGCTGTCATCATTGACTTTAACTGCATCCCAGAATCATGACGACATTGACCAATTATAAATTACAAAATTGCCAGTCGTACCTTCATTGCAAAACCCGCAAATCTCATCTGACATCCTACAATCGTGTTAACCTGTTTCTTTCTCGCAGCTTCGTAAATCTCCTTTGTCTCACTCAAATCCGTCCCAACAGGCCACTCAATGAACAAATCCCTTCCTGCTTCAATCGCCTTGAGCGCAGCTTCCTTCTGGAACATGGGTCTTACGGCAACCGCGACCATTCTAACATCTTGATCCTGTGCAATGTCCTCCGCGGACCCATGATATGCTTTTACCGAAACAGCACTACCAGATGCACTCGAGATGAGCTGAGAGTACTTTGCAGCGCTGGCTTTGGCTGATTCGAGATTCGTAGTACATACAGCAACGAGGGTGTACTTTGAAATCAACGGAGCTTTAAAGAGAGGAGGTGCTAGCATGGTTGCGGGCCATCCTTTTGAGGATAGACCGACGAAACCAAGGCGAATTGGTTGAGATTGGGAATTCAAAGTCATATTCGCGGGGGAACATGGTGAATGGTGTGTTTCTAATATGTACCTCGGTTAAATAGAGGGTAAATACATACGTGAAAGAATTCAGGTAAACATCTGTTGAGATTACTGTCAAAGCTGTTAGCCGCCGGACCTCCGCTGTCGAATACCCTATTCTTTCTGCTTGATTCTTCAATTTTCGGTTGCCTTCTTAGCTCAGTGGTAGAGCGTTGCACTTGTATTATCGGCCGTACAATGCAAAGGTCAGTCGTTCAATCCGGCTAGGAGGCATTGGTTCTTGAGCTGGAATGTTTTGCTCTCATTCAAAACTAGTCTTAATCTTTTATCATTGCTAGAAGTGGTTCATTACTAGTATCTAGTATTATTGATCTTCCCAACCCACTCCCAGGATTTTCCAAAGTGTTCTACCAATTACCAACCCATCCCCTTCGCTTCGCTCGAGCGCCTTCATTCGTCGTTCCAAATCCGCCTTCTCTGCATCCGATATCTTTCCAGGTTCTGACAACATGCTGTTGACCAGCTCGACCACGATAGGTTTGGTAAATTCAGGGTGTGATTGAACGGTAAGTATATGAATTTCGGTCAGAGATGAAGGGAAAGTGGTAATAGAGTGTGAATTTGGGGCTAATTCCGGTGTAAAGCAGTACTTTGCACCATTGAACGACACCACCCCCTGGTTCATGGTTACAGGCGACGAACCAAGAAGATGAAAGGCTTGCGGGACGAAGGGGACAATGTCTTGATGTATCTCATGTAGAGTCTGACAAAGGCAAGTAGAGCGAGTATGAATTTAAGAAAGGACGGACGCATATAGGATGATGGTATACGTTCATACAAGTTCATCCCGCTGTGTCCCAAATACTTTTTTCCCGGTATCTGTGAGATGGACCTTGGTCGGTCCAAGCTCCCATTTTCCGTTGAAGACACTTTTGCCGCCAAGGGCGGCGGAAATAACCTGATGACCAAAGCAGAGACCAAAAATCTTGACCCGAGGGTGATTCTTGGCCAAGTGCACGATGAATGCGCGTAGTTTCATGATCCATTTCACTTGGGCGTAGGCGTCTGCCCCTGAAGGGGGTGAAAAACTAAGGGATCAGTAAAATTGAAACGAAATGCACATAAGCATGAGCGACACTTACGACTACCTGTAATCATGAATGCTTCGTACTCATCTATTTGGTCTTCAGATGGGTATTCCATCTTGTCTACAACATCGTACGAGTCCATTATAAACTCTACATCGCGCCAATCTGACACATTCGATGGCGATATGCCGTTGACTACGTCTGGATCTGCAAAGGATTTCAGAGATTTCAGCATGAAAGTCTCATTGATTGTCGATAGGTTTCCATGGTCTGCTATGACTGCATCATCGCACACTAGAAGTGCCATCGAGATATTTCGTTTTGGCTGATTGTGGTCCATGGTTGATATTCAACACTGGCTGCGGGACTGGTCGACGATACACCGGGAGGAAAGGCGCGATGGTCCGAGAGTGCTGACAACAGCTTAACTGATATTCTCATGTCTAACAGTTTAGAGGCTTCGCTTCGTGTTCCATCGGAAAGACAGATTCTGTTCTAGAGACTGTGTATAAGGGTATCTCGCTATTGGATACACGAGTGTACAATACAATTCAAGTTATCGTCTGCGTCGAGTTCCTCTAATTCTTGTCAACGACTTCTGGAGGCAAGTTTCTCGTCTGTTACTTGATGTCAGTTTCATTTGTCCCGGTCATAAATGGAAAGGTCACATACCGGAGCATCTCTAACGATTTCAATATCCCCTGTTGCGCCAGCAGCCCCGACTTTCGAGTCGGTCCCAGCAGAAACAGGATTTTTCAACGTCTCCATTGGTTCAGGTGGCCCATCGGGAGCGTCACTCGCTACGGGGGCGGAGCGATAGAGTTCCTTGGCTGTGGGCTCGTCCCCGACATTAGGATGGCCGAGGCCTTTGGCTGAAGGGTATGTTAGGACTGACTGGCGTGTGAGCTATTGGGAATGAATATATAGTCACCTTGCATATCTTTTTTGATAGCTTTCTGTGAGGCAGCACTGTCGTCAAATTTGTGAGGCATGTCGTTTTCTTAGGGAATGGTTTACATAGCTGCGAGTTGAGCTTTTATAGGATACGCATTGGAGACTGGGAGGTAGGATGACATCAGAGCTTACATCAAAATGGTGTCTGACGTTTTCTGTCATATCACCCCGTAATTTGGGTCCTACACTTGAAGATACAGGCTCAAAACTCAAAGTTAAATTCAGCTCGGAACTCCTTTGGGGTAACCCGCTGCCATTCCGTTGCACCAACTCCCGCCTGACCTCCCCATCCGTCCCATAAATTCACATCGTTCAGGAGTCCTTCCAATCTAGGTTGTTTGTCTGGATCACCAACGGTCCATCTATAGCTATTCCGCTACCTTTGAGATGCTTCCGTCGATTAATGCGGGTCACGTCCTGCTTTATACGTCCCAAAATATTGGCAGGAGGTCAATCCAAACACGGGTATATAAATCGTTAGAGAGCCCTGCGATTGACACTGCAAATTCTCTGCACACGAGTTCCCTCTCTGATCGTTTTACTCACTGACTTCTGCAAACCAAGTCATGGCAACCACTACCGACGCACCAAACTCCACCCTGGCCAGCTCCCCGCACGATATCGAGAAGGGGTCCTTCCACCACGTTGAGCATGGTGGGCGTCCACCTATCCAGCTCACCCCTGAACAATATGAAAAGCTTTTCCTTCAACCTGGGGGCAAAGCCCTTCCTCAAGGCTTCTCAACGAGATTCGGAAACCCCACCCCGGTAGGACTCGCTTCCTTCTTACTTGCGTTGACTCCCACTGGGTGTTATTTGATGCAATGGGGCGGAGCAAGCGCGACTAGCTTGATCACTGCGGTTGGCCCGTATTACTTCATAGGTGGTTTGGGTCAGATCATCGCTGGTGTTATGGAATGGGTATGTCCTTCAGTGTAGAGTAGCAGTCTTTTCTGCTATAATGTCTTCTTCCAGGTTGCCGGAAACACCTTCCCGTCGGTTGTCTTCATTACCTTCGGTGGTTTCTTGTAAGTATGAAACTTTGCGCCTTTACGCCCGCGTTCACCGTCTTCTGTAGTTTGAGTCTTGGCAATCTCAACGACCCCCAAGTCAATGTCGCCACTGCTAGTGGAGGAGCGACCGCTGTCCCTTACACCGATGGATTGATGTTTTACTTTGCATTCTGGGCTGTAATGAGCTTTACCTACTTCATCACTGCGTTGAGGACAAATGTCGCCTTCGTGGTGAGTAGAATATGGTTTTATTCATTCAGTCCGTTCAGTGTATTCTCGTAGGGTATATTCTTCTTCCTTGTTCTCACATTCGCACTCTTGGCTGCGGGTTATGCAAAACTCGGTGACGCCGATGCCTCGACGGCGATTGCGCTACGTAAGTCAATTTCCGCTCTTACTCGTTTCCTGTCCTCGCTTCATCCGATTTCTACCAAAGTGAAAGGTGCTGGTGCATTCGCTTTTGTAACATGCGTGATTGGATGGTATCTACTCGCTGCACTCATTTTCGCCGTCGTTGATATGCCATTCTCTTTTCCCGTTGGAGATCTTTCTGGATTCTTGGCCAGACGGTCAAGCGTTGTATGATTCTCTTGTAGTGCCACTGTTGGGAAATGCACGGCGACGAACAGGGTGTGTTTTTTTCAGGAAGTGGTAGTGTCCAACGCCTGTGAAGAATTTGTGAGCTGACTAAGCAAGGTTTCCTGCGAAAACATGGCAAATTGTACTCAACTACTTCGTGTTCCTTCAGTACAGCTTCTACAGTGTAGTAAAATAGATATAACATCAAATTAGTGTGTTTTTGATATTTTACATATTTTAAATCATAGAATCAGAGCCAAAATTCGTTGTGAGAGGCGTATAACAATTAAGCGCCGGAAGGTATAGCAACTCGCCTCAAGCAAACTAATCATACAGCCCGATCGGCAAGTCGTGACAATTTTGAAGCTGTAGCCACGGAGCAAAGTGTTGATAGAAGTATAAGCAATAGAAATGAGGGTATATAGCCTCAGCGAAAGAGGAAAATGAATGGAGGAAGGATTTGGTACGCGACCGAAGTGAGATTTTACGCGCGACGTAATTGCAACTTCTGCTTAAGTCCCAGCCAAAATCTTGCGAAATCGACTTGTAGTGTATAACCCCCCCTGGCTACAAAACTTTGAGAGAGAAACTTGTTTATTTTCCCTAAACAAAAAAAATGTTCTGCCCTAAATTCTTTCATTTTTCTTTCTTGTTGATTTATCTGCTAATTACGACTGAACTTTAGCCATATCTTTGTTAATATGATATATTGTACAAAACGGGGCAGAACATATCAGAGAGACTAGCATTCTAAGTATTTTATCTCTATAAATCTATGCGGAATACTGTGTCGTTGCTATACTATCTGCCCTTGCCATGTTTTTGAAGTTTTTTGGTACAAAATGCCCAAATAAGCGCCCAAATTTTTCGCAGGCATTGGACACTACCACAGGAAGGGTCTTTGAATTATCAGTTGCATCACTTGATGTTATCTTATCAGCTTCTTTTTGGCTTATCATCGCAGAATGTAATTTAGCGATCATACTGTAGTCTCTTTATCACGACCACCATGGTCTCTAAATCAATCGCTCTCCTCGTTTGTGATACTCCAATGCCTGAAGTAGTTGCAGAGCATGGTGAATACCCGAGAATCTTCACCGAACTAATGCAAAAATCCCTTCCCAAGGAACTTGGCTGGAACTTCACGATGGATGCTTACGACGTTGTAAACAAAAAGGAATATCCACCGGAAGATAAAATTGATTCGTATGATGCATTTATGTATACTGGAAGCGGTACGTACTCGTTGTTTCTTGCAAATAACCAAGTAGTGCGTATATCAATGGATCAGACTTGCTCCCTTAGCGGCATCCGCCTACGCTGACATCGAATGGATACACAAGCTGATCGAGTTTACGGTTCATTTGGTGAAGGATCACCCAAAAGTTAGATTATTTGGCATTTGTTTTGGGCATCAAATCATCTCGCTAGCTCTCGGTGGCGCGTGCGTCAAGAACGAGGGCAGATGGGAGGTTGGTCCGACAAGCATTCGCTTGACGGACGTCGGGGCTCAGATATTTGAGATAGGCAATGAGCTGGCGAGTCTCTCTCACTGCCCTTATGTGAGGCAATTTGACACTGGTAACAGATCATTCAAGAAATGCACCAAGACCACGTCCCATCTGTTCCCAAAGGCTTCC